TACATCAACACTGTCAAGTATACATTCACTTTCAGTGAAAAATGGTTTCATTTAAAAACTAATCCTTCCATGAATATTCCTTATTCTGTCCTCTTATCACAGGGGACTTTTGTCCCATTAACTAATCTTCAACTAACCTCTCCGTATTTTTTTTCCTTCAGGCAATTAACATGTTCTCTTCCATCTCAAAAAAGAATCTTTTTTCCTTGTCACATAAAAGGCATTATCCTAAAACCTCCTCACCTCCTCCTCTTGAAATACCAAACTTCTGAAAAAATGTCTACTTCACTTAGTTCCCTATACTCCGTCTGATAATTCCCTATCATTCCTTTGAAACTTTCACCACGAATGAGTAATTTCCTGGCTTCCAAGCCTACCTTCATTGTTTATTTTTTAATTCTCAGCATAATCAAACATTGTTTGAAAGCACTCTTCACTAGATCTTATTTTTGTTGTGTGTTTTTTTAAGAGGTCTCCCTAGCAAGGCTTGTGGGTAGGAGGCTTTCCATGGAAACCTCAGAGCTCCTCTTCACCACTTTGAACAATCTCCCTGGGCCTGGATCTTCTGTTGTTTTATTTTAAAGCATCAATTAGTTTTTCTCCTGCTTGCAGACTGTTCCTTTTTCAGTTTCAATGGCTTATGGGTTGATCAAATTAATATGCTCAAAGAACTGGACATGGGATACTACATCATTTAAAATATCTCACTTTACACATATCTCTTATTCTAACACTTATTACACTGATCCACTTCAATATTCATTCCCTAGCTCTACCAGGAGTCTAGGTAAAACTATTTGAAGGCAAAAAAAAAAAAAATCCTTGCTATTATTCAGTTTTTCAAAATCATTTTTTAAATGCTACATCTTATTTCAAAAGAAAACATTTCAGTTACGTATCCTTTTCCTATTCTTACCAGTCCATCAGCCCAGAGTGAGGAAAGCAGCCTAAGGAATGGTAACAGACAAAAAGTATGTTTGTTAAAGTTATATTAGAATTAAGATTTCATGTATTTCCATCTTAAAAGTACTCACTTTAAAATGAACTTAAATCCTATAAGGTAAAATTTGGCTTCCCTCTCCACTTAACAAAAAGAAGATGCAATCAAAACTGAGTTTTGGTCTCAGGTACATGGAAGTTCCTAAAACTCACATACATGGAAATAACATGATTTCTTTTGTTGCACAGTCTTACCATTAATGTGAACGGATACTACAAGATCAAGTGCTGACTCATACTGAAAAAAGCATAGCGATTACTCCAGAGGTCTTAGTCGAAAAGATCAAGAAAGAGCCCATGTTATCATCTGTTATAAACGTGTTCTCCGATGAAAATTTTCTTGTGATGCCTCAAGTTCTGTCTAAAATGGATGCTTGAGAAGTCACCCCATTCCTTTTTGGGACGCCAGCAAATAAATGTTGGCTTTCTCGGTGCAGTTGTCCTGCTCACTTAGATTGTGAATCTCCTTGTTCATCAGTATTTAACAGCAAATAACATAATGAATGTCCAGAAATAATCTGTACCTTATTCAGTTAGCATATTTATTAAGATACCATCTCCTCACTTGTAGCAAAATTCAAAAGGGTTTGTCTTCAGAAGCTTTTTTACATGTTGTTTTTTCCTACCTCAGAGACATACAGGTCATTTTTTTTTAACAAACAAGTTAAACATGCAATGTTTTAAAGTTATTTTAAGTTAATCCAAACTTCCTAAGTGCTCATGATGACTTAAACGATTTACTATTTAAACTACACTACCATAAATTCTATTCATCGAAAATTTTCACTTTAATCAATAAAGATTTGACAATGGTTCCCAAACTGGCATTCCATAATCATTCCAGAAGAGAAAGGAATCACTTACCAAGTATCTATTTAAATCCCTTTTAAAAAGCAGAACAGATGTCCTGGAGATATGCTCAACATTTTTTTAAGTTGAATACAAATTATGCATATACAGAAGCAAAGTTCCAAAGACTATTAATAAATGCAGGCTGGTAAACAAACCTTTCAAGGCATTATTTCACAATACTCCTTTAATAGGTCTGCCTCTGGCACTTATACATATATTCAAAAGACATATAATTATGATTATAATAAATATACTGTGCGGACCACATTCAGAGTCCTAACAGAAATATAAGAGAGGATGTATAAGTTCTGCCTGGAGAGGCTTCACAGAGATAATATCCGGGTGATCTCAAAAAGGTAATTCAGTTCTCCAGGCTGCAGGTGCCCATGCCCGTTTCTAATTACAAAACTTCACAAAATTCAACTTTAAGTTAGACATGTCTTTATTTATTTATTTAAGCTACCCATGATGTATCTGATATGCCAAAAACAGTAACAACAAACCTCACAATTTGTTATGAGAAGTTACTGGTGCCCACTCAAGCAAATAGAGCAAATTGATTGATTTATTTATTTTTGCTTTTTGGGTCACAACCCGCGATGCTCAGGGGTTATTCCTGGCTCTGCACTCAGGAATTACTCCTGGCGGTGCTCAGGGGACCATGTGGGATGCTGGGAATTGAACCCGGGTCAGCCGCGTGTAAGGCAAATGCCCTACCCGCTGTGCTATTGCTCCAGTCCTTAAACATGTCTTTAAAAACCATCAAGAATTAAGGTTTTTCCTCCTTTGAAGAAACAAACTCTCTTCAAGAGTATAATGGAAATACTAGTATATAAAACAAGTAAAAATGAATCTGCTCTTTTGAGAAGAGTTACAGAAGTTATAATCAGCCTCCTTAAGTTTAAATAAGAAAAATGAGTCACTAAGGACACTGATTTTCAAAAAGACCACTTAAGGAAAGGCAACAATTTATATATAAGATAGCATTATTTCCTCTGAAGTCTCTCTAAACTTTTTCCGCAGGCAGTTAACCACTCCTTATTTTATCTCCCAATATACCTGGCATATTCTTTCATTATAATTACTATAAAACTAGCCCTAACTTCACCTATTTTTTTCCTTTTTGGTTTTTGGGCCACACCCAGCAGTGCTCAAGGGTTACTCCTAGCTCTGTGCTCAGAAATTATTCCTGAAGCTGCCTGGAGAACCATATGAGATGCCGGGGATCAAAGCAGGCTCAGCTGTGTGAAAGGCAAGCTTTATGCCCTCTACCTGCCGTACTGTCCTTCAGCCCCTAATTTTACCTTTTTCAAAGTATCCGTGTCCCTCTACTACACTGGAAGTTCCCTGAAAACAGCGCCTATTTTAATTTTGTTCTATCCCCACCAACAGAATAAAAAGGTTAAGTTAGATTTGACTATTTTCAGAAGATTTAAAACTAGCTCAGTGCCTGGCACAAAGTAGCATTTAATAAACTGTCAAACGACTTTACTGAAAATAAGATCATTGAATAATATTCCTAATATAGTTAGAATAGTATCTTATACTGTAGCACTGTCCTCCTGTTGTTCATCGATTTACTCGAGCGGGCCCAGGAACATCTCCATTGTGAGACCTGTTACTGTGTCTGGCATATCGAATACGTTGCGGGGAGCTGGCCAGGCTTTGCCGTGCGGGCTTACACTGTATAGTTTATAAATTTCTACTATATAACTTTATATAGGAATAGAATAAAAAACTGAACATTTGGTCTCAAAGACAAAAACTAAGTAACCTTGGCTTTTTTCCCCTCTGGAGAAAACCATTTTCTCTTGAACACTTAGCTCTTTTTTCCCATTTTTCTCCCATTTTCTTAGTTCCTTTAAATAGAACTATATAGTTTACCTTTAAAAAAAAAATTTAAGTAACCTTTATAGTTTCAACTTGCTCAAATACATTTTATTAATACATCTTGATAAGAAAAATAACTAACCTAAGCAGACCATAAAGATCCCTTGAGCCTGTTAAATGGAAAAACACAGTACCAACTTGTGTGGTGTTAATCTCTAACTTTGAAGCTGGAACTATGTTCTTTCTAGACCTCAGTTTTGGTCATCTGTCAAAGGGGAGGAAGAACCATTCTTTTAAAATTTCTTTTCAGCTCTCATAGTGCAGGACCTTAAAACTGCTACCTAGAATGCTTCAGCTCTCAATTCAGCATGAGTGAGAACTTGATGCATGGTCTGTAAATGGTGCGCTGGGTTTGGCATCGGAATGGGCAGAGTTTCCATACCAGCTCTGTGATTATTTAGCTGTGTAATTCTGAGCAAGAAGCCCACTCTCTGGATCTCAATTTTCTCAACCTGGAAAAACGAAGTGGTTGGACAACATAATCTCTGTTTATAATGCATCACAAACGCGATATTCTATGGGCATAAAAGACCATAGTCACATGAATACAATACCAAATAAATCATCAAGCCACCTCTAGAAAAAATAGTCAGGTGGGACTGAAACCCCCGCACCTTTTTCGATGTTGAGAGAATTCCAGCATCAACCAAAAAGGTAGAGAATTTCAGGACAGTACTCGTACAAACCTTCTGCCTCTCCCAACTGAGTCTCAAATCCTCTAGCACGTTCTTGTCAAAGGCTACCCAAACATCAGGAACGCAGGCGCTTCATCTATTACCATTCCCCAATTCTTCAGCTGAAGGCACACCGTGTTCCAGTAACGCCCCCCACCCCACTCGTCTGACCCTTTCCAACTAAGGGCACTCAAATACAGAGGACAGAGGAAACCTGCCCTTAATGTCCCCCCCAGTAAACCGCCCCCATCGCCCTCCACCTTCCCGTGACGAGGGACCAAGAGGCGCCCCAGCAGCCAACCCGCCTTCCCCAGAGACGCCCCCATCCTGCCTCGGCCGGCCACGGGCCAAGCTCCTTGACCGGCCCTTCCATTCCGGCGTCCTGAGTCCGTGCGGACCCCAAGACCCGCCTCTGGTCCGGCTGACAGCCCACGGAAGCTCCCCGGCCCCGGCCGCTCCGCCCGAGGCAGCACTGGGCCGGGAAGGGCGCCCCTGGGGCTCCTTCCCGGGACCCGGAGACAAGGGCCGGCGGCAGCCAGCGGGGCCCGCACCCTGGCTCCTCCCCGGGCCGAGCCTCCCCCTCACCGGTATTGCTTGGGGTCGCTGGGAGACTTGACGATCTCCGGGTCTCCGGCATTATTTACAGACCCCCTCCGTCCCTCCTCCTCCGACTCATCGGCTCCTAGGCGGGCAACCCGGCCGCTCTCGTCCAGATTCTGTCCATTGGGCTGCAGGTCCGGGCAGCTGCAGGTCGACTTGGCCTTGTTCCTCCCGGGCATGATTGGGGAAGGAAACGGTCCGCCAGCAGCCGAGGCTTCGCGCCCACTTCGCGCTCCGCCACTCCACAGCACCGCGAGCTCCCGCCCGGCCTCACGCCACCACTTCCTCCCGGCGGCACAGACTGCAGCAACCGTGACTCTCCTCAGCATTCACCACCGCGCCGGAGCGATGGACATCCCGCTCCCCGGGGCCGGCCTCCTCTTCCTCCTCCTTCTCCTCCTCCGGCCGCTCCTCCTCCGCCGCCGCGTTCCAAAGGCGGTGGCGGCCGGCGCTGGTGCTACCGCAGCCGCTGGGGAGGACAGGCCCGAACCCCTCCCCCAACCCGGTCTTGCTCTAGCTCGCTTAGTCCTCCTCCCTCCCCGGCCGCCGCCGACGCTCCCGACCCCAGCCAATCAGAGAGCCGAGAGGCGGTCACGCGCACGGAGCCGGCCAATGGGAGCTGGGAGTCGGAGGAACCTCGGCGACTCGCTGGAATCCTCGGAGCACCCAGAGAGCGCTTCGAAACCCGAGTGGGCGGGGCGCGGAAGGAGAGGCGGGGAGCGGGCCGCGGAGGACGACGGGAGCGGGGCGCCCGGCGACCGCGCCCCGTTTATGACGTCGTGGGGAGTTGGTCGCCGACCCGCCCCGCCCCCCACGCCCGACTGGCGCTTCTCCACCGGGGCGGAATGTTGACTCCGCCCGGGGAGCCACGGGAGGAGAAGACTCGCGAGTGGGGTTTAGGTCCCCCACCCCCGTGCATAGCTTATTTTCTTCCTCCTGCTTATCTTAGGCCCGGGGCAGAGCCTTCGGCTGTCACTTAGGTTTAAAAAAATAATAATAATAAACTCCTTTAAGGCTCTTTCACCGCCCCTGGATAGAAAGAAACTGTCGGGTGAGCTAGCAGCCTGAACTAGCCTTTGAACGTCTCCTCCTACCGCCCACCAAGTCTTGATGCTTTGCTCCTTTCTCGCTGGCCCAGCCTTGGTGCTCTTTGCCGTCTAAAAAGAATGTACCTCGGGCCGGGGTGCGCCGTCGCCTAAGCGGAAACATGTTTTTTAGCTTCCCGACCTAGCGGAGGCTAGTTAATCCCTTTTTAACTGAGCAGCTGCTGTGTGCCTAGCTCCTGCCCTCAAGTCGAATTTCAGATCCGCCCCCGCAGCTGTCAGTGATTTTTGCTTCGCGCTCCAAAACGTAGTTGAAACACAGTTGGAAAATGAAAGGTAGCTGACTTATTACAAAATACAAAAAAGGTGCAAAATAGCTGGGTCCAGAAAGCTAGTACAGGTGGTAAGATGCTCTCTGGCAGAGCCCCCCAAGTCCTCCAGGAGTGAACCCCCTATCTCAGAGCCAGGAGTGAGCCCTGAGCACAACCAGGTGTGGGCTAAAACCCAACAACCAAAAAGAAAGAAAAACTAGCGACACCTTGGACCAAGAGATCCCAGCACGTAAAAAGAATATACATAAAGCAGAAAGCTGTATTGATGTCGGTATAAAACAGTTTTCTAGAGTTAAGTTCTACTAGGGAGAAAACCATCAATTTAAAATAATACTGTAATAACGAATGCAGGGCTAGGATGATTTGGGAAGGTCTAGGGTAACTGCTGAGGTAGATGAAAACCTGACATATAATAGCAGTTGAGAGAATTTAAATGAAAAATAATGTTCAAATACAGCAGTTTATTTTCAGACAAACCAAGAATTTTTTAAAAATAAGCAAACTCCACCTGACTGAGCTCTTTCAGAGCAATAATTTTTTTTCTTAATATTTCCAGTCTTCAGCGAATCTTCCCAGCACATTGTAAAGCAGAAAATAAATGTTTGATGGATAAATAGGTTATGTGACCTGTCTGTTTAGAGAATTTTTTCCCTCCCTACCTCCTTTTCAGTATTGAGTTTAATAGCCAGTATGACCTTTTTTACTCTATAAAGAAACCCCAAAGGACACAGGGACAGTGGTGGAGGTCTTGGACGCTGGTGGTGGTAAGGTACAAAACTTGGTACGCAGATACCATAAATTCCTGGCACCACAACAGCCTCTTGAGAATGCATGGGTGCAGTCCTGGATGTTCTCAGCACCACGGTACCGTCTGAGCAAGAGCAGCGTCCTCAAGCCCCTTGCCTTGAATCATCTACCAGGTTGGCCAAAAATTGCCAGTGGGACCCCTCAACATTCTCATAACTGTTTGGGAACCCGTCCCCAAAATTTCTTCAGAGAAAACAAGCTATTGTTTTTTCTTATTAAAAAAAATTTTAATAGCGAGGCATCATGAGGTACAGTTGCAGACTTATACATTTTTGTGCTTGGGTTTCAATTATACAATGATCAAATACCCATCCCTCTACCGGTGCCCATTTCCCACCACCACGGATTCCAGTATCCCTCCCACCCCTCACCCTCCCTCCCACCCCCCATCCCCCCCATCCCACCCTGCCTCTGTAGCAGGGCATTCCCCTCTGTTCTCTTTCTCCTTTTGGGTGTTGTGGTTTGCAAAAGAAACATTGAGTGACAATCATGTTTGGTCTATAGTCTACTTTCAGCATGAACAAGCTATTGTTTTATAGAAAATTGGGACGATGCAAAACTATCCCAAGAAAGTTGAGATGATTCTTAGATTCAGTTATCTAGACTCTTAGAGTAAGTTTTGTGGACTTTTTTTTTTGGTTGAGGGGGGTGCTTAAGAGAGGGGGTTGCTGAGATCAGCACCAGGAGGATTACTCCATAGTTTAGTGGCCAGTCGGGCATTCTAGAGGAAAGGGCAGCTCAGATAGAGAAGGGAACACCAAATAAAGGGTGTTTGGAGGATCCTCCCAGGAGGGGAGATGCATGTCGAAAGTGGACTATGGAATGAACATGTTTGCCACTCAATGCCTCTTTTGCAGACCACAACACCCAAAAGGAGAGAGAGAACACAGGGGATTGCCCTGCCACAGAGGCAGGGGGGGATGGGAGGGTAGGGGTGGGGAGGATATTATCCATGGTGGTGGAAAATGGGCACTGGTGGAGGGATGGGTATCTGATCATTGTATAATCAAACCCAAGCACAAAAAATTGTAAATCTACAACTGTACCTCATGGTGTTTCACTAATAAAAAAAAATTAAAAAAAAAAAGAGAGGGGGGGTTGCACACTCAAATGTGTTCAAGGCTTTTTTCTGACTCTTTGTTCTGGGACCACTCCTGGTGGGGCTAGGGTGCCAGGGATTAACCCTGGGTGGATCTCATGCAAGACAAGCGCCTTACCTGCTGTACCATCTCTTCAATCCCTTTACGTGTTTTCTCATGTGCAGTGCATCTTTCAGCTACCTCTGCTCCTTAATGTCTTTTCCCCAAGTAATTTCCTCCCATTAGGTTTGGTGACCCTTCTCTGATCAGAAATCATGAAAATAAAAAACATCTAATTTCTACGTGTGATACCTACTTCTGAGAGATTAAACTGTACCTCTTAGAGGGGCAGAAAGTTCAAAGGCCAATTATTAACTACATTGCTTGCTGCTTTCAGAGGCAAGGGAAGTCCCAAGTGTGTAATATTGATTCAGATTAAATAGATTGGGTCTTCTATTTCATAAAATCCTCACATCCAAAATTATCTCAACATTAGTGACTAAAATTTCCCTGTCATGAAGACTGGAGTGATAGTACAGCATGTAGGGCACTGGCCTTGCATGCAACCAACCAGAGTTTGACCCCTGACATCCCTTATGGTCCTTCAAAGCCTACCAGGAGTGGTCACTAAGCACAGAGCCAGGAATAAGTTCTGAGTACAGCCAGATGGGCCCCATTTTTTTAAATTTCCCTGTCAGTGATTCATTGTCCTCTTTAGAGCTAATGATTCTGTTTTGGGTCCACACCCAGCAGTGCTCAGGGTTCAGTCCTGACTCTGTGCTCAGGGATCAATCCTAGCAGTGTTTGGGGGAGGGCACGTAAGTAGTGTCCAGGATTAAACTGGGACCTGCCACTTTTAAGACAAGTGCCTTAACCCCTGTAAGATCTCTCTAGGTCAGAACTAATAGTTTATGCTAATGTTAACTTCGGAGTTTAAAAAATGAAAGTCATGAGTGCTGTAGCAATAGTACAGTGGGTAGGGCACTGCCTTTGCACATGAAAAACCCGGGTTCAATCTGGGCTACCATATCCCCAAACTCCAGCTGGGGTGACCCCTGAGCACAGAGTCAAAAGTAAGCCCTAACAATGGTGGGTGTGGCCCCAAAACAAACCCCCCAGAAAAGAACACAATTGTGTGAATGGATTTGTTTTTTCTCCCCTTTTGAGGCATACCGTGAGCAATTTGAGAGCATCATGAACTTGGGCTAAGTGGAGAGGTTATTAATTTGTGGAGGGAAAAGCACACGAAGATAAGGTAGGTCACAAGAGAAATTATAATTTTGTCCTAGGCTCTCAATTACATCTTTGGAGCTCTAGTTACTAAATGCCCTGCCCACATTGTTTGTCACATTTGTAGCTTTGAATCTAGGTTAAGAAGTAGGCAGGCCTGCTGGCAAAGCCTTCTCTTGGGACACCAATGCACATGACCATCAAAATCATATTCTGTACTATAAATGTAGTCCTATAAAGAATCTGATACTCAAACTTCAAAATAAGTTGACGATGACTAAAAAAATAGTTTATGGCAAATGAAAGTTATATTATTAGCCTAACTAAGCAGTTCTCTAAAGATTAGATTTTAAGACAGTCTAGGAGAAATGTGAGGACAAAATGAAATTTGAAACGTGAATAAAATCTGATGATAATTATTTCTTTTATTATTTGTTCTTTTTTTTTGTTTCTGCCGACACATCCAGTGTTGCTTAGTCATTCCCAGTGGAGTTGGGAGATCCTACTATGTCTAATATCAAACCCAGGGCTCCTCATGCAAACCATGTGATCTAGCTCACTGAGGCATCTCTCTGGCCTTTCATCTCTTCCCTCTTTTATTGGTCCTAGCAGTATTTGAGTCACTTTCTGTGATGCTGGGAATTGAACCTGGGCCTCCATGCAGGACCTGCCCCTCTCACCCTCTAATCTATCTCCTAGATTCCCTTCCTTTTTAAAAACTCTCCAGCGACTTCTTTTTGTGCTTTAAATAAAATCTGTTTATCATAGCCCACAAGGCTCACTTGTGAGTTCTATCCCTGTATTTTACAGTCTATCTACTATTTCTGCCCTTTACTTGACACTGACTTCTTTAATGTCCTTCAGCACACTAGGGCAGTTCCATTACATGTGCTCCTTTGCCAGGTCTCTCTTTCATTTACATTTCGCATTGCTGGGCTCCTTGTCACCAGTCATGTCAGCCCCAAAACCTATTTCTTTCTCCTGCCTCTGTAA